CCCAGCCCGTGCAAAAGTATGACTGAAAGGGAAATCAGTTGTGGCAGGGGCAGGGCTTTTCCTATAACGAGGCAGCCTGAGGTTGTTGCCTCAGACTGGCATCTCTTTGGGTCACATGGGGGGGGGGCTCAGGCAGGGCAGCATGGCCAGAGGTGGGGGAAGTACAGATCCACTGAATGAATGAAGGAGAAGCAGGGGGATCCTTGCACTGCATATCCTCAGGTGCAGCTTCCTCTCCAGCAAGGAGAACAGTGAGCAGCACAGTGATGACATCATCAAATCTCCTGAGACTGGCAGTCAGGGGCAGCAGTGCCTTAGATCTCGCACTGCAGATATACAGTTATGAGGCTCAGGACACAGTAGTGTCTGGGCACAGGAAGTGCACTGCTTCAGCCAAAAGAGACATTTTCCAGGGTACTGCTTCAGTCTCTGGTACCATGTGTCCCTGAAAAAGCATCAGAGGAGGCTTTGGTTGCCATTAGGTGTGTTGGCAGGTCATTTAAATAATGAGTTGCCTTAACACGACGCACACTAATGCTCATCATAACATGCGTATGTTGACTCCCCGCACAAGCCTGATCCTGGCGTTACAGACTGTTTGGCTTAGTGAATAAGGTGGAAATGTTTACTTGAAACTTCCAATCATAAGCAAAGTGAACAGCCTCTGATCCTTGAATAAATCCACTACCTTGTGTTTTAAAGCACCCACACACCAGGGGGAGGCAAACTCTGTCCCTCCAGCTGTGGTGAAACTACCAATCCCATCATGCATCTGCCTCTGGGAATCATGTATGTGGCTGTGAGAATCTTGCAGTGCCTCATGGGATTTGTAGTTCCACTGCAGTTGGAGTTTGCCCACCCCTGCCACACACATTCACTCTGATCTTACAGCAATCGGATTAGTTTCCTGACTGCGTCTTTATGAACACATAGAGGGTTATTTCAAGTATACATCCCGAGCCGCACGTCTCCATTGTCCTGGCCATGCCGGCGCATTACAGCCCAATAGAGTTCTGTAGGGCTGAGTCCCAGGGCCTAGGAGATCAGAGACAGTCCTATAGAAGTCCATTGCACTACTGCGCAGGTGCGGTCAGGATGTAAACAGAAGCAATGGAGGCCGCTATTGTTAGATCAAGATGAAGATGTGTCTGTGTGGAACACAGGGTTGCCACCTTTTCTTCCAGACAAACCCCAACACTCTAGTGACGCACGGAAATTTTGGGGGGGAGAATGAGTCGTGGCTTATTCATATGTAAATAGCTCTGCCCATTCATATGTAAATATCACAGTTTAGACAATTTTCAGTGGGGGGCCAGTAGCCCCTATCTTAATTTTGGTTGCCCCTGTCTGCCTGACATCATGTGTCCAGGTTTCAGCTGCCATGAAACCCGGACACAGCATTCAAAACCTGGACGGTCCGGGTGAATCCTGGACAGGTGGCAACCCTA